AGACACACCACTGATTTTTATATGTGTTTTCTGTACAATAACTTCTGACCTACTCTTTGTTTTGATGATATGTTAAGTCCAGGACGGACAAATTGCTCTAGACATTCAGTTAAAAAATTGTAAATAGCTCGTTAACTAAGAAAGATACAAAGTTCATTTTGATATAAAAAAAAAAATCACAGTTTTTTTTGATTTTTAGATCGATAAGGCAAGTTTCTTTATGACAAAAAAATACGGGGGTGGGTTAAAAGATACCCAACCCCCCAACTTTTTTTAAAGGGGTAGTTTTAGTTTTTTTCTCTTTGGAATATTGTGCCTTTAAATTTACAGCACTGGCAAAAATTTCAAAAAAAAAAAATTCGCAACAGCAAACTTTTTACAAAAAAAAAAAAAACGTTTTTTTCAATGTTAGTTTAACACCCTGTAACTTTGTTAGGAGCCAGTTTTTGATATAGGTAAATATAGCCAAATCCACTTATTTTTTGATAATCTATCTGTGGAAGAATTTATGACATACCTTTTTGAAACACCCTATATATTAATTACAGACCGGGAGCCGAGAGGGTTTTAACATGTATCATAGGCCCCCCGCCGAAGCTTTGGGGGGTAATAGACAATGGTATTCCCCTTGAATTCCGGGTATGGCACCCCTAAAGTATAGCTTTTAGGAGGTGATTACGAATTTGATGTCAAACTTGTAAAAAACAAAATGGTGGACCCAATATGGCGGACCAAAAAATGTCAAAACTCGTAGATTGATCTAAAAATGTGTTTATACAGGTTTTTAAGGTCATTACTTGTGAAATTGATGAAAACATATTCATGATTAAAACTGCCGGATTTAATATGGCGGACAAAATGTTCAAAAATGCTTCCATTTTTCTGAAAATGTGTACCTATAGGATATCGAGGTCACTCATGATAAAATCATTAAACTACTGATCAACGAGAATTATTAATATTATACAAAATAAAATAATTATAAAATTAAAACGCGCCTACAGGGCTACGATAAATAATCTGGTATACATAAATAATTCAAGTAAACATTAATTTCTGTATTAACTAAAAGTACCTACTTAATTTTATTTGAAATTTATTTTTAAAAAATGAAACATCATCTCATAGGTCTGCATTGTAGTCAAATGCATCCACATCCGCTTCTGCAATGCCATCAGATAAAGCGTCGTCATCCCTATCTTCATTTGTTTCTTCATCAGAACTAGCTGTTTCTGTAAATGCATTGATCCGTTAATTTCAGTTCAAGTCATTATTGCATGATTGAATGACTAAAGTAATATGTTCATTTATTATTAATATTATTGTTACTAAAAATTTTGTCTTTTAAATATAAGTTATAAATATATTAAGTATTTTTTTAGAAATATGTAATATTCATTTATATTATTGTAACGCGAAGCTATCTCTGTTCCTTGTTTACTCCTTATTAGCGGTATGAAGCCTAGCGCGGTAATATAAAAACAAACGCACTGCTTCGAGAAATTATCGGAGTGATTCATTTGCGGCGTATCAATCATAGAAAGGCAGTTCCCGATCGTTCTAGGTCGCCTAGAGTGTTCTAGTACAGAACTGGCTTTATATAAATAGCGTGAGTTTGTCGATGGACGGGAACATTCAATTTAAGTGTTGGACAGTAAAGATAAATTGTAATAAATAAAGTAGAATAGTGAGTTAAAATAGTGTCAAAGTATTATATAAATTAATTAGTACGTTATAAAAAAATTGTAAATAGTGTTTTAAATAAATTAACTATAAATAAAATAAACGTTACATTAACCTTGCTCGATGGTTTGTATCATTTCCTGTTCCTCTTGGTTACGTTCTTCAGTTCAATATTTTGCAGAACTACGTATTTCATTTATGGTATTTGGCATAGCTTCACCGTCAAACCACTTAAAAGTATAGCCATCATCAGACAAATCCCAACCATGATGGGAAGCATTTTCGTGCACTGTTGGAACTTTCAAATGGGCGTTACACCAAATGGCTTTGCATGCTGGAATAGTCGAGCCCTCAAAGTTTCGTAATATCTTGTTGAATTATTATTTATTACTCTTCATGATATACGATTTTAAAAATAGAGCTAATTTGACTTCGTTAACGTCGTTGATGTGGTTTAATCATACAAAGTGGGGAATAACGTTGTTTATCAACCCCCAAAGCCTCGGCGGGGGGCCTATGATACATGCAAAAACCCTCTCGGCTCCCGGTCATTGTTATATATTAATTAAAAGTACATAGATATTATCTATAATACCTAATTATAAAGTATAATAGCGCAATCAATGACATTTGACATTACATACATTGGAAGCACTTAAAAAGACCAACACCCATTTTGAAACATACAAATTAATGTTTTGTGTTTAATTTATTTTCCTAATTAGAAATATTCGCATTAATATTTGCCAACTTCTAAAATAACGGAAAATAATAACGAAGCCATAGCTGATACAATTAAAAAACAATACAAACAATAACACTGACAAAACTGACAATCGCAAATCTCTAATCTACTTTACTGGTTGCCTACGTTGAATGCGTGTATCTCAATGAACTGAAGGGGGTAGAAACCAATGTACATGTTGTACTATTAGAACTAGGTGCGACTCTATGGGCGCAGCCATTTTTATTATTCAGCTCACTCGGGACTATTTATAATAATCATTTTCTTTTTCACATTGTTATTGTTCAATCCACAAGCTGGTGGATCAGACAATAACAATGTGAAATAAAAAATGGTTATTTTAAATACTCCCGAGTGAGATGAAAAATAACCTATCTTCGCCCATAGAGTCGCACATCAAGTCTATTGACAAGCATTCTACCCCACTCCAGTTCATTGGTGTATCTGTATATTTGAATGGCACTTGGATGCTTTGAAATTAACCAAAACACGTCGTGGACGCGCAGAAAGGACGGTAAGTTTATCTATCATGCGCAGTGCATGACGTTATACAAAATCTACGCATATACGGCGACAAACCGGAATCGGAATCGTATTTTACTATTCCAAATAACATTCGATTAATAATTGTTCAACGTTATTTCGATTTTTTTTTCGTTAATTTATCGCTGTACACGTCGGAATCGTATGAAAATGAAATTTTATTAGGAATATTACGAAAAATAAAAACAACATACGTTTGTTAATTGTCTAACGTGCTTCGATTATTTTTCTAATCTTTTAGCGTATGCACATATTTTAAACACTTCTGGAATGTATGCAAATTTTTTTTCGCGCATATTTACCAAATACTTTTCACATAATCCAATTGCATACATTAAATAACTGTTACAGGTATAAATACTACAGAGAAGGAGGCGAATCGGCAAATGGTCAAATTTCAAATTTCCATCCTTCTTTTTATAAAGTTCGTGAAATTGAGTGTAGTTGGCATGTCCAATGACAGCGAAGTCAATTTTCTATGTAAAATGTAAAATAAAGTGATTTTTTGAAAAAAATGGCGAAAAGAATCAAAATAATGTGAAAAAAAGTACCTGAGTACAAGTAACATGAGGGACAAAAAACATCAAAGCAAGATTTATGTCGTTCCAGATATTAAAACAAAATAAAAATCAAATGTAAAACTAAATAAAACACAAGAAGAAATCAATTCAATGTCTTTTTAAAGCTTCTACTGTAAGTAAAATAGTGCATTCACGTCCAAATATAATATTTATTGTAAACTATACAATATGTATCTTACGAAGTGTACTTTATTTTATTACAAGTTTCTATAATATAAAATTTTACAGTTATAGATGCTGACTAACAAACAACAATAATTATGCATTAAATTTAACTTACCAGAAAAAAAAATATTTTAATGTTCTATAAAGAGTTGCTACTGTTATTTTTTGATTTGTACCCCAATTGTGTTATTGTAAATGTTTTTTATAGGATACTAAACGTTTAGAACAGTGGGAGCCTATATATCGTTTCTGGTGCCGATAAAACACTTTCTAGAGATGATGCTGTTCTATACTTTTTAGAAGATATTATCAAATATTATGAGACTAGTTTTACTGATGGTACTGTTAGCAAAATAAAAAGGGGAAAGCTAAAATTAAAGGATGAGGTAATACCATGTACATTTCCAAATCTCCCTTTATACTTGTATTATAACAATAAAAAATTTGTTAACTGTGTTTTATTTTACTCTTAAAACTGTATATTGGTTCAATTAAAAAAAAAATTGCCACAAAATTGTACTTATCAAATTTCAGCATTTAAGAAACCTTTTTGAATTTGGTCATACATACCTAATTTGTATTTTATATAGATAAAATTAAATAATTTATCAATTAAAAGATGCAAGACTTATTTAGACATAAATACAACAATATGTTCTGTGCTTTATTTAGCTATAAACAAGTTTATTTTTATTATTTTGACAAAACTATGTATAATTCCCATAAGAAGCCATGTATTTTGAACACCGTATGCAGTACCAGCGCCCATGCGGTTAATTATAGAAGCTCAATTAGCATGAGTTTTTTGGGACCTGTATTTTGAGTATGCCGATTCGTCTCCTTATCTCTAGTCTTCATAGTTCCAAGAAAATACAAAAAAGTGCATGTTTAAAACATAACCACAACGCATATGTGCACGCCGCGATTATATGCATAGTAGCTTTTCGTTGTCCATTTAACAACAAAAATAAGACTGTGAATAGGCATACGTTTAATAATTTTTCTTCAATACCTCATATTTTTTACATGTTCAATTAATAATTTCGGAACCTCCTACACGAAAGGGGCATATGCAGATTATTTTCCGGACTCTTAGATAATTGGCTAGGACATATTAAAAATCTATAATAATCATAACTTAAAAGATTTATACATTAAAATAACGTTGTACCAAATCTGTCAATTTAGGTATCATTCTTCAACAAACCGCTTAAACATTTTTTATAATTTAACATATTGCAAATTCTAGCATTACCTATGCTAACAAATTATTTTTTTTACAGTTGAATCCCCAACACACAGTCCCATTGCTGGATGACGATGGCTTCGTTTTAGCGGACAGTCACGCCATTATGACGTATCTGGTATCGAAATATGGAAAAGACGAAACTTTGTATCCCAAGGATCTAAAACAGAGGGCAATCGTTGACCATAGACTACATTTTGATTCAAACATTTTGTACGTTAGAGGACTTTTAATAGGGGTAGGTATAAATGTTTTTGTAGTGAACTATTAAGGAAATGGAAAAAAAATTCGGATTCCGTTTGAAGCCGCTCCAAAAAAAATCACTATATTGTGCTTTGATACAATTTAAAAAAGTAATCGCTATATCATTACTGTGTTTGTTTATTATAGTATAACACGGATATAGTACTAAAGATGCGACCTAACTCTGTATGGGAATACAATACTTTATCTTTCTCTAACTCGCTGACATGAACTGATATAGACGAACTGGACTATTACATAGTAAACACTCCTAATTTCTTAATCTATGTGCGCCCCGAAATTGTTCTCTTACAAAATATTAGGAGAATCATTTGGTTCTATTTGGAAATAATTTTCTATCGCATGTTCAACAAAAGGGTTGCCAAGAGTACGTTTTTGAAATTTCAATAGAACTACGTCTACTTATTTTTTCGGATGTTTTATTCTAACACCATCATGAATAAGGCCTCAGAAAGGGTATAATATAAAGTTATAACCCATTATTTACACCAATTTTTTTCGGGTGTTCCAAGCAGAGACCGAACTTTTTTCGCCATCTACACGATATTCCTTTATACGTAGTTGACTTATTCTTTTAATATAACTAACTAGGTATAGGTATCACCTACATCAAATAAAAATACAAATGTATAATACGAAAAAGTTAATCAGCTAATCGATGAACTTGCAAGTAATAATGTAAATATATATCTATGGTAGGTACCTAATAATAGTTTGGCTAAGTGGATGATTAGATACAAAATAGACATGATTAATTTGAGTGTATTTGTTGTTGTTTCAAGGTCAAACGAGAATAAACTGAAGAATCATCGTAATCGTGACATAATACCTTGGTACATAATACATACCATTTAAAATAAAGTAATTATTAAAAGTCATAGAACTTCAACAAATTTTTAGATGTAATTAATGAATGTTGCATAATCCAAACTGAAATTAACATTATTTGTACAAACAAATGTAGTTTACCTATATTAAATTTTAATCATATATGAAATTAATTATTTAATTACGAGTATTAAAACTAAAATTATAAAAGCGCCCGTGGAGCAAAGTTGAAATTGAAGTAACACTTTTCACCGTATTTCATGCATTATTTTTTATTCAAATGTGCTTTGATATTAAGAAAATATAGATTTAAATATGAAATGACGTTATTTCCACTTTTATTAAAACTCAGTTATTAACCTGTGATTTATTTTAATTAGGCATTCCAACAACCTGTCAAAGATTAGCTGCCAGTGGAAAGGGCTCGTAAATATGAGGGGGTTGCGAGAGAACCTTCCATCTTGGACCCTATTTTTATTTGAAATAGTAGTCGCCAATCTTGCCAATTTGTGGAAAATGTTTAAACAGTTTTTTAAAATAAATATGCGAGTGCGAACAATCACTTTCACACAAGATTTTTCCTACGACCACAAAATAATTTTATCAAACAAATGTAAAACTAGGAAATTTGACTATAAAGGTTTCATCAAGATGTGGCTGGTTTTAGATTTGTTTTCATATGCCTGATTGAATAATTTTTAAAGCGTATTACAGATAGTGTTTTGTCAAAATGAAATATATTGTGATCCCATTTACAATTTCATAAAATAATAAAGATAAAATAACATTAGGTACAAAAAATATAAGACTAAGTTAGTTTTTTTAAGAAATAATTTGAACCGTGAACAAAACTTTTTTTATTATAAATGAATACCCACTTCTCTACTCATATTTTTTTTATCAACAGTAATTAAAATAGTACAAAATAAATAGCGAAAAGAATAATTGTAGTTGTTATATTATGATAACTAACATGTATTTTAAATAAATAAACAACAATAGTCGTATTTTACCAATTTTCATATTTTTTCAATATAAAAAAAGATAATACATTGGGAATTGAACCATCGCGTAACGAAATAGTCGCGAAATGACAAGTTGAAAAAGTTAGACACCAGACGATCTGTGCTTTTACGGTTATGTCATTTAACTTAACTAATTAAATATGTATTTGAACCAGCAAATAGCAAAAGTAATGTAGGTAGTTATTAAAATTCTTTTAATAATTTATTAAAAGAAATATCTAAGATCTATATTTAAAAATTAATGTTAACAATTTAATCATCAAATCGATTTTACTATTAAAATGGACATTACATCAATCAAAATATAAATTAGTTGACATATTTGACAGCTTATGCCGATAGTAGATTCATACTCGCACGCGGGTGGAAAGTAGATTTATCCACCCGCGTGTGATATAGTGCGATAGGTGTGACTTTCCTACGTGGTCATAGGAAAATAATATTTTCATTATGTTAAACATAAAATATTTATTAAATATATTTGTTCGAAATGTCTATACTCAGAATAAAAGAGGTGTGCAGTAAAAGTGGGGATATACCGTCACATTCCAAAATAAGTTTATATTATATAAAAAAGGTAATGACATATAAAATGGTATATACGCACTTCGTAGATTAAATTTTGAATGAAAAAAATTATATTATGTACAAAAATTAAAAATAAACCTTATTATGCTTCTGAAAAAATTGTTGCACTTTAACATTGAACGAATTAAATTTAAGAAAAAATTTGTCTGGTCGTCTGTGTGTATGTATGCCAACACTATAACTCTAGAACGAAAGTTCTGATTGACTTTTGGTTTTGATTTTCTTGAATAATTACTTTCAGAAATTTCGGTTCATCCTAACTACTTTAATAACAATTTTCTTAAAATCCGCCTATGCATTCCTTATGTGAACAATTTTAGGAATTTCAATTACTTCTGACGTCAAAATTCATAACATTTTTCACATTCCATAAATTGCAAACATTCTCTAACGACCTGTCAAACAACAGCTGTTGATAGTAAAGGTGAAATTTCTAAGGCGGGTAGCGACCTTCATACTTGCAACCATAGCCATTTTGAAAGCTATTTTTATTCGAAATTAGTCGCCAAGCCTGCCAATTTATGAAAAATATATAAGCAGTTTCTTAAAAATGACTTTTTTATGGTGATGCTAACTTAAGCGTACTACTATTTTGCCCCTAGCCACAAAAAGACCTTCATCAAAGTTACTGGCTCTCTGTCGTAACCCCATAGAATAACCGGCCATTTTATTTGGCAAAAATCGGAATAACGCTTGACTGTGCCTGTCAAGTATCAAGATGTCAACTGTGATATGTGAATGGCTCTTAAATGTCAAATAATTTAAAAATGCTTTTTTTGATATTTATTGCAAATAATTTGTAGTGTATCTTAATTCAGGCTTTTCATAAATAAAGGTACAGCAAGACAGATAATATAATGTTCTTATACAAAGCACTTTTTTATTACATAAAAGAGAGTTAGGATATAATGCTGGTTTTTGTAGATAATTTCAATTATACGATTTTAGATTACATATTCAACCAGCGAATTGTAAATAATAATTAGTAAACTTCTAGTCATAAATTTCCTCAATTCATAAAATTTAAAAATGAAACTTCTTACCTTGAGATTTTAATGACGTAATGTGATCGACCTATTTCAAATGTTGATCAATTATGATGCCGATGTATTTTGTTGTGTTTTTTATTTTAATTATAAAATTGTCATTTATTTGTATGTTGAAAGAAGGCCTTTGTTAATTACATTGGTCTTTATGGATCTACTTTAACACAAAAATAGTTTTGTGGCTATAAGTTGCTACCTATCGTCGCAAAACTATTAATAATTTAAACATAGTAAGTAGTATTAATATAACATTAAGTAATTTTTTAAAATAAAGTACATGATCTTAAAACAGAAATAATTTATAATAAATGAGGGTAAAACGAGGGGTAAAATAACGATAAATTATAATTGTTTTTTTTTTAATTTCTGTAGGCAGTCTATCAAATTTTTTAAACCTTTAATAAAAATTGTATTTTGGGAACTTTTAGTGATGGCTTGCCGTCCATGAAAGTCAGATTGGCTTCTTGTATTATAGTTGTGATATTGCGAATTATATTGAATTTTTTTAATAGATCTGATGCCATGGTACTGTCATTTTTATTTTATAAATAGCCAATTTATTTCTTTTAACATAGTTGCAATACTCATCCTTCTGTCCTTTATTAGTAGAATATAAATAGGTGACGTAAGGAGCCCAAATATTTTACATGAGCAGGCTTAAGAGGTAAAGGGGCCAATTATTATTGGATAAATTGCTCGAACAAGTTTTTAAACCCTAATCAAAAGGCGTTATAGAATGGTTTTAAAAATCAAGTCTTGTGAAAATCATAACCTAAGTAATGCCAATGCTTCACAAACCAAAAAATTCAACGTCCTAATACTACTATCGGCTTTCGGTCTTTCATTTCAAGTTAAATAATTTCTCGTTTTTGTTACTCTACGAGTTTTCCCTTGTGGGCCTCAGTCTCGATGAGGTGGGAACCACCATTTTAGCGTCTCTTGAATTTAAATGTTGTATTGTTTCGAGAAACATAACCATTTAATTATGACTAGATCTATTCAATGGGATTTAACTCTGAATGGTAAGGAGACAATCTGAGAATTTAAATTCCTTTTTCTCGGATTATCTCGTCTATATAATATATTTTTTAAATTTGTTTTTGCCATTACGAGTAATTCTGCCTTCAAGGATTTAGGAAGACTAATAATAGTTCTAGAATGAAGCCATTTTAAAATATCTTTTTTTTTTCATCTTGTAGGTAGCGACTCCTTTAATCGACTGTGATAGGATGCATTTTCCAAAACAATAACGGAGTTGGCTGGAATTTTTTTATAATGTTCCGTAACCAATTTTCAAACATAGGGTCGTCCATTTCTTCAAGGTAGTCTTTTGTTCTTTGACTCGAACATTAATAAACCATTTAGCAAAAATCCATCCCTTACATAAAAGTTTGTTTTTTAATTTTGATGGAGGTATCTTGCCAAATTTTTGTTACTGTATATCCAGCATTAACCTATGTTTCATCTAAATAAAATACCTGTTTATGCTGATTCCTTGCGTCCGCTAAAATATTTTCCGTTAAATTCCCATCAATAGGCCATTCATTGCCAATATATTTATATCTACACATTAAAGGGAGGCCTATTAACTGGATTTGATGGCTAAGTGACTTTGGCCCGACTGTCGGCCGTAGTGACCTACATATGCCGGCCTTTTAATTATAAAAGTTAAATGGTTGTCATTACAATTGAAGGGTAATAGTTATTGGGCCTTTTATTCCCTTACAAAAAATGTTTAGGACGTCATCAAATGAATCAATAATTGACATTATTATAACATGCGTTCAGACAATGTAGTTGACATTAGTGGTTTTTGTAATCAAAACATCAATAATTTTAATTTCTTTCACACCAGCAAATAACATAAACATTTCTGCCAAAAGCTCCCTTATTATAGGCTAAAAATATCAAATATTTTAGTAGATTTTTAGGTATCACAACGAGATTGTTATCTTCTCAAAAAAATTAAAAAATTAATATGCTAATTTAGTGATGACGTAATTTTGGTTCCACTGACAATTAAAGTGACAGTAGACTTTTTAAGTGTGTTTTTTTTCATTTTGTTTACCTAAATTATATCGTTTTTTAACCGACTTCAAAAAAGACGGAGGTTCTCAATTCGTCGCAATATTTTTTTTTATGTATGTTCAGCGATAATTCTTTAACACGGTGTCCGACTTCAATGATTCTAAATGGAGTACTTCAGGGGTGGTCCCATATAAATTTGGTCAAAATCTAATAGTTGGGTCTATGAGAAAATCCTCAAACTCTTCATTTTTTATGTATGTTTAGCGATAATGCGATAATGCGATAATGCGATAATACCACCTTGTCCGATTTATATGGTTCTTTTTTTGTTAGTAAGGGGGTACCCCAAGGGTGGTTCCATATAAATTTGGTTAAGATGTTGTGATGGTATCTGCACGTTTTTGAAGTCGTTTTTTTTTAAGTTTTAATTTCTAATACTTTTAAAAATATATTCCTAAAGTAAGTAGATAACATGCATCAAATATACAATCATTTAGGTACTAATTACATACCTTTAAACTATTTTTATGACCTGCAGGCAGTATTCAGAAAAAACTAAAACCTGTATAAACGTATTCAATGTTTTTGTTAAAAGTTTGATTAGAAGTTAATTGGTACTGGGACCAAAATTGCGTCACACTAATACGCCGTACCGATTGCCACTTTACAATTCGCCATTGCGATGTTTAGCTTTAATTCCTAAATCTAAGGAATATAACAAAATACATATTGTAACTTTTTTCTTTTAGAGAAGCCTCCTCTTCGAAGGCGCGAAATCCATCGATCCCAAGCTTTTGGCATCCCTTGAAGAAGCGTTCTCGATCACGGAACAGTTCTTGGAGAGAAGCAAGTACGTCGCGGGTGATCAACTAACCATAGCCGATTTCAGTTTCGTTACTTGCATCACAAGTTGGAGCGGCGCTTTCGCACCATTAACCGAGGACAAGTTTCCCAAAATATGCGCTTGGATCAAGAAGATGCAACAATTGCCTTATTACAGGGAGTGTAATCAAGTCGGTTTGGACATATATTTAGGTGCAATTAAAGACAAATTGTCCAAATAAAGTTTCTTAAAATAATATTCGTATCTTTTTACTTATTTTCTTATTTTATCGCAAAAAATGCAACATAAAAATAGTACATACGCTATTTTTTGTACCGCAGGGACTAAAACTTAAAAATTTACACGATAATTATGTGAAAAGAAACACATTCAATATTATTTCATAACGATTATTTAATGATTATGAAAAGTTATTAAAAAAAAAAAACGAAAATTAAAAAACTAACCTGTCGGGGGTTTAAACCTGGGTCATCTGCTTACAAGGCAGGCGTTCTGCCGTTGCAAAATTATTGCAGAAAAGGTCTGGTTATATTACCTTCCGAATAAAGTAGTTTGCTATGGTTTCTATTGGTTCTGTTATTTGTGGGACTAACATTTTTTAATCCATTGGAACTAAAATATGTTAGTCCCAAGGGAGTAAAAGTTGCATTTCAGTCCCTAAATTGAGGGAGTAAAATGCATGTTTTAGTTCCTGAGGTACAAAAAGGTTTTTTCGCATATATTCATGGATTAATTAATACTGTACTAAACTTTAAGGTTAGTTATAAAAATAAAGTATTCTCCTTCACAAGAAATGCATTTTTGCATCTGCGAAAACCATTCTTCTCTTTGAGTCAAAATCAAGTTGCAGGGAATCCACCGAGGAAAAAGCTTACCAACTTTCAAATGGCTGTGTAATAGTAGTTTACGTTATAAGCTCGTTTTTTACGGTTTAAGCCACGCTTGAAATTGTAAAAAAAATCACAGTCCGCGATAATCATCCTTGTTTATTTTCATCATTTATTGGCGGAAGGATTTCTTTAAACGTGTGTAACTTACAATCAGGAATAATTGACAACTAACTGTCTTTAACTTAACTTGTAAACAACTAGATATCATCATTGTATAAAGAACTATAGTATGATAATCGCCATGTAAAAGTTATTGGAGGCAATCGCGCCCGACATCTATTGGTACAATCATTGAACTAACGATTTTATTTACCTTAGATAATATAATAGCAGATAGGCCACCACTGCATAAAGTTATACAATATTAATCTCGCTATCATTTAAACAGTATCTCTCTTCCTAATGAAGGCTTTCTCACTCGTTTTAGAATTCTCAGCAGTAGCGTACCGTAAAACAATTTCGATGGGTCATTTTAAATGCGAAAATGTTGACCAAATAGAATATAAAATAAAATGTTTTAAAAGGTAGGTAGGTGCATTTTTAATGAAGTGAAAACAAAATATGACTTTTTTGTTATGAATATAATATTAATAACAATTACTTTTAACACCACAACACGAACAAATTTAAATTAAACACGGGAATAATTATCTGAGAAAAGCTCTGTAAAACTAACAAATACAAACAAAGAGATAGAGATATTAATCTATATCTCTCTAGTTAGAATTCTCGACTATATTATCATGGCGACACAAACCTTGTTTACTGTCCTCTCTTTACTACTTATTTACTCTGAGTTATTTACTGGTTAGATACGCCCTCTACGTCAGATGTTAGAACTTTATAAGTGACAATTCCGTCAAATTAATTGTCAGTATATATTTTTACTTTCCTATCTGTATACAGATATAAGGAAAGTATAGGAATCATGATTTTTTCGACCTCGAGTTTTCGACGGATTTTTACGTTTTGAGGTCCCCTGAATCCGTTTTGACTATTTTCGCGATGATGTCTCTGTGTGTGTGTGTGTGTGTGTGTGTGTGTGTGTGTGTGTGTGTGTGTGTGTGTGTGTGTGTGTGTGTGTGTGTGTGTGTGTGTGTGTGTGTGTGTGTGTGTGTGTGTGTGTGTGTGTGTGTGTGTGTGTGTGTGTGTGTGTGTGTGTGTGTGTGTGTGTGTGTGTGTGTGTGTGTGTGTGTGTGTGTGTGTGTGTGTGTGTGTGTGTGTGTGTGTGTGTGTGTGTGTGTGTGTGTGTGTGTGTGTGTGTGTGTGTGTGTGTGTGTGTGTGTGTGTGTGTGTGTGTGTGTGTGTGTGTGTGTGTGTGTGTGTGTGTGTGTGTGTGTGTGTGTGTGTGTGTGTGTGTGTGTGTGTGTGTGTGTGTGTGTGTGTGTGTGTGTGTGTGTGTGTGTGTGTGTGTGTGTGTGTGTGTGTGTGTGTGTGTGTGTGTGTGTGTGTGTGTGTGTGTGTGTGTGTGTGTGTGTGTGTGTGTGTGTGTGTGTGTGTGTGTGTGTGTGTGTGTGTGTGTGTGTGTGTGTGTGTGTGTGTGTGTGTGTGTGTGTGTGTGTGTGTGTGTGTGTGTGTGTGTGTGTGTGTGTGTGTGTGTGTGTGTGTGTGTGTGTGTGTGTGTGTGTGTGTGTGTGTGTGTGTGTGTGTGTGTGTGTGTGTGTGTGTGTGTGTGTGTGTGTGTGTGTGTGTGTGTGTGTGTGTGTGTGTGTGTGTGTGTGTGTGTGTGTGTGTGTGTGTGTGTGTGTGTGTGTGTGTGTGTGTGTGTGTGTGTGTGTGTGTGTGTGTGTGTGTGTGTGTGTGTGTGTGTGTGTGTGTGTGTGTGTGTGTGTGTGTGTGTGTGTGTGTGTGTGTGTGTGTGTGTGTGTGTGTGTGTGTGTGTGTGTGTGTGTGTGTGTGTGTGTGTGTGTGTGTGTGTGTGTGTGTGTGTGTGTGTGTGTGTGTGTGTGTGTGTGTGTGTGTGTGTGTGTGTGTGTGTGTGTGTGTGTGTGTGTGTGTGTGTGTGTGTGTGTGTGTGTGTGTGTGTGTGTGTGTGTGTGTGTGTGTGTGTGTGTGTGTGTGTGTGTGTGTGTGTGTGTGTGTGTGTGTGTGTGTGTGTGTGTGTGTCTGTGTGTCGCATAACTCATGAACCGATACACAGAAAAACACCAAATTTTAAACTTAAGCTTTGTTCCAGCGTCCAATGTGCTGATTAGATTTTGGGCAGTGTCGAAACATCTGGGGGGGTACTTTATGGGTGGTCATTTTTATATTTTATGGAATATATCTGTTATTTACGTTTGGGGAAGAAAATTCTTCAAATAAAAGTTACTTCTTATATTATCTAAAATTTTTATTCCATACAAAATTTTCCTAAAATGGTCCGTATTCGAGAAATTTGACAAAATGTAAAAAAATATTTTTTTATAAAAATTGTTCAAACAAGTTGTTTGTAATATAATTCTCTATAATTTTTATCCTATACATAATTTCTCTAAAATGAACCGTATTGGAGATATTTGAGAAAATGTGTAAATTTTGAAATTTGAAGAAAACTCAAAAACGGATAAAGAAAAAAACATTAAATTTTAAACTTAAGTTTTATTTCGGCCTGACGTGAAATGATTAGATTTTGGACTAAGTCGAAACATCTGGGGGGTACTTTATAGGGGGCCGTTTTTATATTTTATGGAATATATCTGTTATTTATGTTTGGAGAAAAAAATTGTTCAAATAAAAGTTATTTCTAATATTCTATAATTTTTGCCTTATGTCAAAATTTCCTGAAATGGTCCGTATTCGAGAAATTTGACAAAATGTGCAAAATTCTGATTTTAATGAAAATTGTTGAAATAAAAGTTGTTTGCGATATCGATCTCTATAATTTTTGTTTATACATGATTTTTCTAAAATGGACCGTAATGGAAAAATTGTAGAAAAAGTGCTAAATTTAAATTTTTCAGTATTTTCATTTTCAACGAATATCTATAGAAAAATGTTTCGAGGTAGATGTATGTGGAAAATGTATATATTTATTTTATCCTCTAAACATTTATGGAGGTGCTGCAATAGGTTGTACAAAATAACCGGAAAAAGCCTGTAATAACTAGATAGGAAAGTCATGTGTTGGACACATCAGATTTTTTTAGTTATTTAGATTAAATATAATTAAAAATTAGTGATTCTTGTAAAGAATCAACAAATAATAGCATTCCACAAGATATTCGTCTATATTTAGAAATAAACTGAGATTTTAATGAAACTAAAAGCAATCTGATTATCAGCCTTAAAAAGTAAAGCTTTTTCATAAGTCTTCATAACGAAAATTTAGAGTACTTGTCTATAAATCGAAGGGTTCCGAGTTCAAACCCACGAGTAGACTCTTTTTTTTTATTATTATTTAATTTTATTTTCTAAATTGGTAAAACTTAAATTAATTTCAAAACATGAATTTTACGTTAATGACATCTAAATCTTCATGCTCAAATATCGTCTTTTTGCTATGGCCACTCTGGATCATCAAATTATAATAGAATATTATAAGGTCCGGTAATTTTATTTAAATCCTTTGACAATGAAACTAAAAATGTGTGTGTCTAAAGGAGAAATATCCCGAAAATAACAAGTATTTAATTTTGCTAATAAATTTGTATTAGGTATGTGTTAAAAGAAAATACATCATTTTGGATTTGAATATACAGTGTGTCGCAAAATGTCTGCACCAAGAAAATACGAAATTACATTTTTCTTTAATCTACGTAAAAAAGTGCGAATTAAAATTTTTTTACTGAAAATTTATGGTGCCTAACAGGGTTATTCATTATAAATTACCCTCCCTTTATGCTATAATTATTATTGTATAATGTTTACATTGACCGAATTTTGTAAAAATGTCATCAAATGACTATATCAGTGGCGTGCATATTTCACAGGATTTAACATGAATATTTCTTAATAAGGATAGCATAGATATATATTTTATTCAATTTTCGGAATGATCTTTATTCTTTCCTGATTAATTAAACGTCGAATATCATAGATAATCTATGTGGAATATCTTATAAACATTTACACTTTTTTTTTCTCACTGTAAACTACCTATTTGGATTATTTTATTATCAAACATAATAGTTGTGATTTTCATAGCTTTTACTTTAATAATGTTAACTTTTTCATGTTCACATTATCAACGTTAAATTACTCGAGAACAGACGGTATAAGATAGGGTTATCAATAATATACATTTGTGAAATTAGAAAAAAAATATCCCAGAAATTTAATAACAGAGGGTATCCCATTTAAAAAGTTTATTTGTGTTGTATTCCGTGAAATCTGAATACGTGTTTTTATGGTATATTTAAAAAAAAGTCTGTCATATTCACAAACTTTTATTTAATTTTTTTGAATATGCAAT